GAAAAAAAGATAAATCTGGACAAAGTCGTCTATTTAATATTAAATAAAATATTTTAAATAAATTAAAAAAACAAAAAAGAAAAAGAGAGACTAACCGAACATCTTTATCAATTTGTAATAAAACTTCATTTTCTTTAAAATAAACAGCCCATGAACTATCGGGTGCAGAATTTAATGGCTAAAAGAATATTTTAATTAATATTGATAACAGAAAAATTTAAAATTAAAAGAACTAACATGATCGAATACATTAGATTCTGATGTTGATAGAAGACCTGGTTTTATAATTGTTTCTCGAATATAACCACGATATAATTCACTATGAAAGAATTTTTTATTAAAAACTAAAAATTCATTTGCTTTTCTTTTTTTTTTTACCGGTGTTTACTCAAATGTGTTGACCATTTAGTTCGATCGAGTACAAGATAATTGAGTAAAATCTAATGTATTCAAACAAAATGAATTAAATAAATTATTCAATTAATTTTTACCTTCCAAGTTAGACTACGAATACCATTTTCAGCTGGACAACCTAATAAAATAAAATACAAAACAAAAAAAACATGAGTAAAACATTATTTTAATGAATATTTTTAACCATTAAATGCAAGCGTTTTGAGTTTTTTTAAATCGATCATATCACATTTGAGTATTGTTTCGAATTGTTCAATTCTTAAAAAAAAAAAACAATACCAATGTTGAAATTTTCAAGTTTTATATAAGAATTAATCCATACGTTTTTTGATAGAGTGCCATGTGGGAGATTTGTTTTTTTTTGTGATCTGAAACCTAAGGTTTTTTCAAATGAATATAAAAAGGAAATAATATTATTTGATTAGTTGACAATAAGAATCAATCAGATGATGAGAAAGATGTCATTCGAATTAAATTTCTTTTATTAATTTTTTTTTCTGAATTAAAAAAAAATTATGATTAAAAGAAAAAATTATTTTTCTTTATTTAAATCAAAAAACAAAAATAGATAAAAATAGCCATTGGTCATTCAATCGGTCATCTATTGTCCATTTTTCGGAAAAAGGTGATCAATCAAAAAAGGTAAGAGAAAAATCTCACCTATTTTTTACATTCAACTATGACTCGAATATCTCATTTTTTCGGTAAAATTATTTATATGAACAAATTATTTTTTTTTTGATTATTTTGAGTCCTTTTTCTATTAGTGTATATAATATGTATATCAATATCGTTAATAAATGCTGAAACAATACCACGATTTGATATGCGAGATAAAGATGGAATTATATTTGATCCAATAGCACCACGTGCTGGTGAAAGATTGGTTGCAACATGTACATTAGTTGGTTTGACACCTAATGATAAACGTCATGTAGGTTATTTTCAATGTTTATATTTATTCATTGTAAAAAAAAAAAAATTCTAACAGAAAGTTTTTCAAGATTTTAATTAAACTTGTTTATTTGTACTCAAAAATATTCAAAGTAATGAAGACATCAATATATAAAAAAAAAACGATAATATTTTCTTTATCTAGTCGTTTAAAACGGAAGGAAGAATATAAACCATTCATTATTTTTCTTTTGATTATCGTTCTGTTTATTAAAGATAAAACAAGCTCTCATTAGAGATAGATGATTCTGAATCAGGATCATCAACACTAATTTTGATTACAATGTTTAATACGACCATACTTCCGAGTCTACATAGAGAAAAAAAACTAGGAACCAAACACACGAGTAATAATTTCTTGTATAAGATGTATGCAAGGGTATATTCGATCAGGCTGAAATTTTTAACACAGATTAGGATACTTGAAATAAGAAGATTTGTGTTCGATGAAAAAAAATTTAAGAAAAAGTTTTGTGGGAAAATTCTGACTTTCTGTGGGATCGTGTTCTGGTGCATTAAGATCCCGATTAGAGTCCATCAAGTTCAACATTTTTGGATTCGGAATCACCTCGAGAGGCTCTAACTCCCATCAAGTTTTGTCTAACTGGACTGAAAATTTTTTTCGAGATACTTGAGACAATATCTCACAGGTAGTTTTCAGCTTTCGCTGAAATCTCATTTTCTACTTTTTCTTATGAGAAAAATATGTGAAGATTCGGGTCGAAACTTGAAAACGACTGATTCTACCTCAAGATAATGCTTTTAAGTATTTATAATAAAAATTTCAGCCCGATCAGACAAAATTTTTCTTCGAACACGTGTCTCTTTATTTTAGGTCTTCTATCCAAGGAGGAAGCAACGTACTCCTCTACACTGAGAGTGGAGTATAGTAAGAGAACCATGGAAGAAGGAGAGTCTGTCGGTATCTTCTTGAATTTAGTTATGAATTTTTCTTAGCTATAAAACTATTCCGGAGAGCACGGAAGGATGCCGATTCCTCCTTGACTCTATCTGTAGTAAAAAATTTCGACCTGATCGATTTTATTCTCTTCGAGAGCCAGAACAAGTCAAAAAAATAGAAGAGAATAGTATTAAGTCAATTTGATTTAAACACACTTTTTAATTGTCAGATAGGCAGTTTCGATACTAAATAATGTTGACTTTACACATATCTAGTTCTCATATGATGTATTTTTATTTTTCGATGTAAAACATCGCTCTATTTGAAATATTGTGTTTGATGAAAATAATATTTCAATCAAATG